CTCCACCCTCTCCTCTTCTTTGTCTTGTCAATCATTTACTTTGATCATTTGCAGTAGTTCGACGCGAACCACCCATTTTCTTCATTGCGCAATCGTCAGAACGCGGAAGCTGAGGTTGCACTTTTTTCACTGCAGGAAAGAAACCTTCTTCAGCTTGACACGACTTGTTATGACAGCTCGCTAATGGTGTAGTAATCTTCTTCTTCCTCTTCTGTCGTATGGCTACAGCACTGACAACATTACATCGAAATGTCAATATTTCTGACCGAGCTGATCGTCTCCGGGGTGGTACCCTTAACATCAGCTATCCTGCTATCACTGTCATAATAAGCTGGCAGATTAACATTGTTATTTATTTGGTATATGTTCCATTATTTTAAAAACTAGCCGAATAACTTATGCTTAACATAGCTATCCTTTATATTTTGCATTTCTTCTATCGGTCTGATCATCGCGACGTTCATTTTGCATTAACCTTGCAGTCGGATCTTGGAATAATGTGTTAAACAATAATTTCAATTTTACGTCTGTGTTTCATTCTCACTGTCAGAAAAGCAAATTTGAGAGTTGCAAATTCGACAAACTGCTGTTGAACGAGGGGGGGTGGTAGAATCTCTAGCGCCGCATTAGTGAAATTCGCCATCGCTCGGTAACGTATATTCGTTATGCAGATTATTTCATCTAGTATTTCACAATATTCTTCGTCTGTTGTTAGGTTCCTGCTTTACTGGTCTGCCTTCAGTGAATTCTTTGAAGAAAATAATTACGTACTGATGTTGAGCGTCGTGCTTGTGGTTGGCATGCTGCAGCAAATTAATCTCGGAGAGAGAGGGAAGGTAATGGAGTAAACTTGATCTACCTTCAGAGAGGTACCTGTTGGAATCTGAGGGTGATGCAAATTATCGTTTTCGATAGCTGATTTGGGCAACAAATTAATCGTACTGTGCTTCAGTATAACCAGCCTAGAAATGGGTAGAAAATCCGATGACTTTCAGATCGATAAGATGGTGATAATCTTCATCTTCATCTTCATCTTCCATCGCCGCTTCTCCTTTCGGGTCGCGGAGGCAGACGCGTCAG